CTCATCAAACAAACATTTTTGACGAGAAAATGTAAAATGATTATTGGAAGCAACATCAGCATGGAATATGTTAAACAAGATCAACAAGGAAAGGCGGCGTTCAATTAACGCAACCCCCATATGACCCAGCAACAAGAACCAATGGAGTAGCGAGTGGAAAACGCTTGTAATCTTAGGATTGCTGACCTCGTGGGTTCAAATCCTGTCAGGGGCAAGCCGTTGTTTCCTTGCGCAAGACAATTTACATTAATTGCGTAAAACCTGTTGTTTCCAGGAACTGATTCGAGAGTATTTCAATTCCAACACAATCGAACTACAATAAATTTGTATAAACTAGAGCAGCATCAATTCACAGTAGGCTGAAAATTTGTGACTGACTTGCATGATATAGTTTCCAGTCAATCACAAATTATATACTTTTACTGGATACAAAAAGGGGGGAAATATATGTTTTTATGTATTTTTAAAATCCTCTGTATATTGAACACTGAGCCGTATTTTACGTGATAAATCTACTTAATTTACATTGTACATTAATTTATATTTCAGGCTGTGTAAATTATAAAGCTAATTTGCTTAATCATTAATGATAAATCTTAATCCTTACGCAGTCTCCATTGATCGAAACATCAACTGATCTGAAAGTATGAATAATAAAAGAAAATCAAAATAGCATTAAATAATAAAACCTTTGACCTTATGACCTTAAATTCAATAGGAATCATCAATTTCAAAGTTCCGCACACATAGCTCATTCTTTCCAGAGTTACTGAAAGGGCAATAATTTTAGATCAATTGTTACTTTTACATTGACCTTTGACCTAATGACTGGTAAATTGGAAATATCTATTGACCATGGGGAAATTTGACAAAGGATCCCTATTATTATTTTGCAAGTTATTGAGGAGACAGAATTTGCAAATTTAGAGTCACTACGACCTGTATCTTTGTCGTACTTACATCAAAATGTGACCATCCCAATCCCCCTTCTTTGTATAAAGAAAGTATGCAAAATAGCTTTGAGTTACTGAGCAAACAACAATGTTGATAATGACTAGACTAGCGCCATGTCAATATAGTATCTAAGAGACTTCGTCGTGAAAATAATTAAAGTAGGGACGCCACAAATTATGATAGCAATAGTAGAATGAGAATTATCTTCAACAGCAATCTGCTGTCAAATACAAAAGACCTGAGTCATGTAAGAATGTCATTACTTATTTCTGATGCTTAAAGCTTAAGTGTGGTACTGTGTGGTATACTGTATAAATAGCAATTTTAGCATGCCAACAATTTTGAACGTGTCTATATTTAACCACACATAATACAGGTTGTCAGTGGAAATGGTTTCATTTCTTAAATCTGACTGAAAAGTATCAACATATACAGCAATTTTTAAGATTGAAGTTGATGCAGGTTTGTAATTCTAAACATGCGACCATAAGTTTTTTAACGGCAGAGACGTTTTAATAAAAGCCTGTTCCCTCGAGAGCAGTGGAATTCTAGCTTATAGTGGTAGTTTATTGCATACTATCGTCGACGCTCCCAAGCAAGGGCTTAAGCACAATTTAATATTTAAATGGTAACTAATTGTATTTTAAAACATCCGCAGATGTATTCATTAGGCGGTCATTATGAAACCTCCAATATGAAACGTCCCTGCTATTCCGTGAAAAGCCGTGTATGGTCTCCATGTAAAGTAATGATTGTGCCCTTAACGAAAGAGCAATGTAAAGAACTGAATTTTAAATGAAAATTGTAGAGGGAATCAAAGGTCACAGACAAGACATAAAAGACAAACTTGAAAAGCAAGCAAATAAGCTAAGCTTTATTTAAGGTTATATAAGTAGGCATATTGGAACAATCCAACTAGAAAATGATCGTATAAAGGAACAACAACAAAAAAGCCGTGTTTAATAATTTTCAAGAATCGAAAATAGCATTATCCTTGATTAAATGTAAGAAACAACCAGCCTTTGCAATAGGTTTAAATGTTGTATTCTGCTTAAGCCGGTGCTGGGGGCGTGTACGGTAGTTTGCACTTGATAGTACCGTCCATGAAAAGGCTCAATCAAACCGAGTTTGAAATATTTTCAATTTTGCCGTGTTGGGCTTTCTTTAAGGATTCTCATATTGTCTCTTTTTTTATTAAACCTGTTCACGGACGCTACTTGAAAGTGCATGTTACCGTCCACGCCTCTAGCACCGGCTTGACCAGAATTCAACATTTAAACACGAAAATGGTGAAATGGTGAAATTTTGAATTTACAAACACCAGCAGATATGTTCATTCGGCGGTTATCATGAATTAAATTAATGATTGCATAACATAACTGTATATTATAGCGATATCAAAATATAAAAAAGAAGAAATGGACTAAACATTGTAAACTCATACATACCTATCATATCCACTGAAAAAGAAGTTAAAAGACACCTTTGAATAGTAATTGTATATGCTATATGTATGGTGTATTGATATATGCTATATTTATATGTGAAATTTGCATGTACAGTGTATAAGAGACCATTACAATTAATAATATCATTTGAAAAAAAACCATTAACATGAAAAATATAACCATGTTTTGTTAATTTCTTCTTATAGAAGTCATTATGAATGGCGATTATGAATTATGATTTGATTTATGGCATTGTTATAATAAAAACATTGTAAATGTATACATACCTATGATAATCGCTGAAAAAAAGAAGAAGAACTATAAGACACATGGAAAACATGCATGTTAATGCGAATCTATACTCAAAAGCAAAAGTGTTTATATTTATGATTGCATTGGCCATAATCAAATAAACTTAAAACATCAGGTCATATTTTGCTTAAATTTACGTAACATCTCAACAGAAACAGTTTGCTCGATTTGGCCGTGTTTTGTCTAGCTAAAAAATAATAGTACGAAAATAGTTTAACCTTTTCTTTAGAGTCATGATAGAAACAAGATGAAAACCTGTCAATTGCATACTGATTATACGACAAATCACACACTATAATAATCTTCGATACATTTTCGGCAAGTTCCGTGAGAAGTATTGATTTAATTTTATTTGTGCCTTCGAAATGAAAAAAATGAGCGTTAGAGAGCAATAGGGTAAACTTCGGGTTGATCATTCCTAAATGTCCGACAAGTACTAAGATCGAGGCCACGCATGTCCATGTTATTTTTCTTAGCTTTCTTTTCATTATTATTAAAGCTATGATTGTTTTTATGTTGTTTGTTTTAATATGTTTTGCATTTATTTTGGTTTAACCCTATTTTTGTTTAAATAACATTGATTAGGAATTAAATTTTTTAATTCATTTGGATAAAGAATGTTATTTCAATGCCTTAAAACACAGTACAAATCGAGACAAAACTGTGTTTCTGAGTTGCTTCATATCCGTGTGGACAATTTTGCAAGCACTCGGTCCGATTCATTAAAATATACTGCAAAAATAAGAGCAGGCCTAAAACAATGGCCACAGCAGGGATCGAACCAAAATACCTCTTATTTATAAGACAATCATACAACCGATTGTACTACTGCGGACTTGACGACGACGTATAATTTAAGCTGGCGAGGCATTTCAAAACATGTTATTTACCCCATATTAATTCTCGTAAACTACACGGACAGAACCGAAGTGGGATCGAATATTTAAATGAGTGCTATAGTTTATTTATAACTGACATGTCAATAAAATCAAACTATACATATGATTCCGTTTATATTGGCGCTAGAGTATTTGATTGCCAATGGAACAAAATAAGCAATCTTCATTCATGATGTAGCAAATGAGTAAAATTTGTGATTCTACTCGATCTACCAGTCCCTACCGACGTCATTTAGAAATGACGCGTACAAATCGTTGTTCAAAAACTGTTACTGCTACAGAGAGACAGTGCGGAAAATCGTAATTCAATTAAACTATAGTTGGTGACAAGCATTTCTATTTCATTTATTGTTATTATTGTTATAAAATCGGCTAAAATTCTACTTAAATTAGCGCATAATATTGGTCCTGAACATGTTCATGTGTGACAAATAACAGAGACATTCTTTGTAACATTTTTTTTAAAATTGACCAAGATTATGGCTTACCATTTTTACAGTGAGATTAACGTTCTGCACTTATATCAAGGATATTGAACGAGTGCAGGATCAGAACCTAATTTATTGAGAAAAGATATTATGCCAGCCTTTGGCGTGCATATTTTTTCTTAACTCGAGTTCAATAAATTTAGTTATGAAGCTACGGGAATATAATATCCTATATATCACATATCCATAATTAGAACTGTTGCATTGTAATGGTAAGAAGTGAATTGAAATGCCAGAACGGATTAAATGACTGCAGTGTGCATCTGCATGTGTATTCCATTTAAGTGGAAAAAAAAGATAAGGAACTTTACATATTTTCTTGTTTTTGTGTTAGTTTGTTCATACAACTCAATGTTCGAGTTGCCAATGTATTACACTTCAATCACAACTATTCGGCCGTGGCAAGATACTCATGTTTTATAAAGTATAGGAATTCACTAAGCTGTCGAAAAGAAAATTGCCTTGTTTTGAGACATTCACAGACAGTATAAAGTTTTACCCAATCTTATGTCTTTTACAACAATTATGTTATTGCTACACTTATCACTAGGTTAAACGACGTAATTACATGTATATAAATAATCATCGATGATTTAAAACAAATAATTCTCAAATGTTTCATGAGAGTTCAGTGTAATCAATGCACATATTACAAAAAAAATGTATTTTATACGTGACGTCATATTTGCGGTGTTCCTCCGATTTGCGCGTTGTGATTTGACATGAAATGAAACTGGAAATTAGAAAGCGAATAAACAATGATCTAAAGAAACCTATTATTTTCGAGAAACCTTATTTTTCATCAAGTTTCTTTTGAAAGTAACACATTCAAATCTTATAGAAGAAACCAAGTAACGCGGCAAGTCTATAAAAGGGACTGCTACAATAATAAAACTTACGTTTCATTTATCTGAAATCTTATCCGGTCGCCTTGTTGCCATGCTTTTTGATACGTTATGTCAAGTTCTGTTCCTCCTCAATACAATCTTAAAATATATAAATTGTTTGTTCTCAGTCGGATATATTCGTTATATGTATATAACATATATTTGTCAGTAACTTCTCTTTGATGTTCTACATTTCGAGTTATGCAGTTTCTGGAAGCCGATTAGAATCATTGTATTTCTCATATTTTTTCTATATGTATCCTTAAGATGCATTAATGTATATTTCAAAGACACTAAGACATATCAGGAATTAAGAAATATTTACAAGAAATAGGAAAGCATAGTGAATTTGTCAGTGGTAAATGTTTAAGATAGTAAATCATTTCTTTACACTAATATGTCATACGAGACTGGCAATATAAAAATAACATTGCAATATTAACAAAAATTACAATAACAGTTTTTCTTACTTTCTTATTTTATTTTGAACATGATGTAACAATATCCATGAATAATCATAACAAACAGCAACTTAAAGATATTTTATGATATTCTTTTTTGATAATTCTGGCAAGAATTGCGTTATGCTCTTCAACGTGGATCTCTTCTTTAAGTTTCATTTACACTCACTGCCAATTCTTCATTCACGTCTTGTGTATAATTTGATTTCACTTAGGTAAACATTTCTTAACATTTTCAAACTGTCATTAGCAATTGAATTAGACCACTTCATCTTTTGATTAATATTTAGTTATAAGTTAATAAACCTAAATAAGAAAACCAGTACTGTGGCTATATTGTACATTTCTGCAAGCCAAAAATAAGTTTTCTGAATTAAGTATGTTAACATACAGGTAAATATGCACCACATGTTAAACGTATGTGACAAACATGTATTACATATTGTAGAAACATATGGTTTCTCCAAGAAAAGTACCCCGTATGTTTTACATATGATGCATACACACGTTTTTCATATGGGTACACATATAACATATGTTTTCCATATGGTAGGAAACAGTGTTTCTCCAAGAAAATGACACTGTATGTTATATTTATGGTATAGACATATATTTTTCATCACAAATGTTATATTGTGTTCCAGAGTTTGGTTTCCTTGAACTTGATAATTCGTAAGAATTTAACAAATGTTCAGTGTTCAACTCCACATTTAAATGAAATTATATATATGAATATAATTATGCTTATCAAACAATTTTCAAGCGTCGAAGAATATGTAAAATATGTACTGAAAATATTTGTACATATTATATGTAATTATTAAAATATATGCATTCATTTCGTAATGAAAAATTTGACTTAGATTTTATAGAAAATAATCTTTTTATTACCTCCCTTTATTTACATTAAATTTTAAATTCGGTAATATTTTTATTAATAATGCTTTTTGGAACTTACAAAATTGACAGATCATGTAACACAAATTTTCATGTTTTTATATCATAAACATGATGCTCAAATTAAGATTTATCAATATGCATAATTTCATGATCATGTACGACGAAATTTGTCGTACAATTTCAAAAGACCACGTCTTTTTAATCGTTAGAAGTGATCTATTCAAACAATTCCTACTGTTTAAATATTTACTAGAGCAACCATTTTATGCATAAAATGTGGATATCTAGCTTTCAGGTCAAGGTTAAAATTAGATATGTGTCAGAATAGACAGCGAATTTAGAATTTTGAAAATTAACTGATCTAATATTAATATACAATGACATAATTTATTCGTCTATACAGTATGAAAATTTAAATGCTTAAAACATTTTGCAAACTGTTCATATTCTCATTCTTAACAGATTAATTGTTCTTTAAACAATGAAACTGTTTTGATTGAAGCACATACTTGCCATTTGAATGGTAGCCTATACAATCCTGTAGAAGTCCCGGAAGCTGATCGTTTGAACAATGTTTTGGTACAAGACCGCAAGCTAGGTAGGATATAAAAATAAGCTACATGTATTCAATTATGCTCATCTTGAAATTATATATATTTGCTATACCGTCCCTCTTTTAATGTAAAACACACTTATTTTAAGTACGAACAGAAAGATGCGTAACCTGCAAAACCCGCAACACTATAGGTAAACGCAACGTATATTCATAATGTCATAAAAGAAAACGGTTATATGTGATAAATAAAACCAGATAAAATTCTAATAAGAAATGAATCTTATATAAATATTCAGATTAAAAATGTTTTAAAATAGAAGTCTATGGGTTTGATGTTAACAAAATAAACACAAATCGCATACCAATAAGTGTGACATTACCTATAGATCCATTTTTGCCCAAACTTAATATTTCTATTTCAAAGTTGTTTATGGAGTCAATATTTCTTTTGTCAACATATATTCCAATGGCTCCTGCATTTCCTTTACCATCATAACTGAAATAAAGAAGAAGTAATTATTCAAATGGACAGATGAACCTTCTTTAGGATTCATACAATCGAGGAAAATGAGACGAATATAATGTAGAAAATTAATACAAGAAAAGAAACTTCTTATGATTATGTAAGTAGTTAAGCTAATTTTACATGGTTGAAAATCTCAGATTGTTTCAGAATTTTTTCAGGGTAAAAAACCCAGAAAGGTTGAGAAGCTTTTACATTTTGAAAATAATGTTATTCTCCACTAACGTCTAGGGTTACACTTTTACCCCGGAATGATATCTAACTGTTATAACCTATATGAATGAGAGAGAGAGAGAGAGAGAGAGAGAGAGAGAGAGAGAGAGAGAGAGAGAGAGAGAGAGAGAGGGGAGAGGGAGAGAGAGAGAGAGAGAGAGAGAGAGAGAGCTGTGGTGCAAAACATATAATTTATCGAAGAAGCCTCTTATTTTGTTGAAATTACAAATTAAGCACTATATTCCATCAATTATTTCGAAGAGGTCAACTCCTAAAAAGAGCAAGTCACCAAATGTATCATATCACTTTCTTTAAAGAAGCATTACCTTTTCTCAAATCATGATTAAGCATTATCATTCTTCGCCAATAAAAGCAATAACAAGATTTACACTGAAAGCTATTAAATCAGTAAACATTTTATATGGTATAAATATGTAACCTTTACGAAGGAAATAAAAAGAAGATAAAACATGCATGATACCTGAGATAAACACCATCAACTTTAAGGTGTCTGCAAACTAGTTGATTATAGAATAATTGCTGAAAAAGAAATATACCATTTACAAGAAATACCGATTAAAGCGATGAATAAATTACAACTTGTTTACAAGAAATACCATTTCACTCGATGAATGAATTACAAAACCAAAATTGAAAGCGATGAATGAACTTGTATTTAAAGGATGTAAAGGTAAAGCTATACCTTATTTTTTTCAAAACAATAATTAACAGAACTGTAACATATTCTGATTATGGTCGATTTTCGAAATATTTGTTCAACAGAATGGTATTGTAAATTAACAAACATGAGTATTGTATTTTAATAAAATAAAATGTCAATAAACAAAAACTGCTTAGTACGCTAAAAGTTCTTATCTTGTCAAGAAATAGAATGCTTAAATTATGACAAATGTGTTTCCTGATAGTATTACAGTCAATTTATTTCTATTATATCTGTTACATGACGTACATATGGTATAAGTCTAACATAAGCCTATTCGGTGTTTAATTTCAATTCTGAGACGGATGTTTGAAATGCTTATCTAAAAAGATAAGAGCAGCAGAGACTAGTGTAACTACCAAATCGTTCTGTCAAGAACTATTAAGTTAGACGCTCAAATAACATTAATTTTAAAAGCCAGTGATGAAGATGATTCAAAAGTTTTCTACATTTTTTAAAATTCTAAAATAAAGTACAATTATATCAAATAGTTATTATGTAGTTCTTGCAGCGCATATACCCTCAAGATTTTCAGTAGATTATACTGGTTGAATTTTTACCATCATAAAATATAAAAAATAATAAAAGTATTAGAAAACAGTCCTTTTTACAGTGACCTGCTAGCCAGTCCTAAATACTGAACTTATGTTTTTTAGAAATAAAATGATTACAGACGTTAAGAAAATAATATTACCGCATTTGATGTTACCTTTCTTTCTTGTTCCAGGTATTCTAATTTCGTATTAAGATTTTCTATCTCTTTAGTTGATTCCTTCAATTTCTTCTTTAGACCAATCTCCTAATGTATAACAAATACATACTTTAAATACATTTATTGTCTTCTTAAAATTGATTTAATAATTTTGCAAATATGTTATAATTAAACAAATGTTTATTATATAATAAATGATATATTATTACTCATAAGTATACTTAAGTTATTTAAGTTTTTAACCAATTAATCACACATTTCATTATTTACCATTTTGACAATTAGAAGTTTAGGAGTTTTTACTACCTTTTTACAATTGTAGTACAGGAAAAGTAGGATATTCCAGACATTTCAGATAAATGCAAATCCAGAAGCCATTTTCATTACAAGAAACGGATATAATAATGTGTTCAATAGTTTGCCAAAAAGTGTTCGTTTATGTATTTTTCTTACAGTCGACTGCTTTTAATTAGACCAGAGCTACCTGCCTTCGCATTTTTCTCTCCCAATTCTTTGTTCAAACTGTTAATAACATCAACCATTTCCTCGAGGCCAGTTCTTGTCATTTTTACCTAAAATTAACCGTACTTTAATAAAAAATTATAATAAACTTACATTTTTGCACACATTACTACCAAACGACTTCGTTCAAGAAAAGAGTTTTTATTTTAGTTCTTTCGCTTATGATATGCTAAACTTTATTAGTTTGAACAACAAGAATGATAATTTTATGTACTGAGGCTTTTCATTGTGCTTTATTAAAGTGTATAAAGCTATATATCTGTTGCAAAAAATCATGTTTAAATTTTAGAAAAATAACTTCTTCCAAAAGGCTTCTTGGATGGAAGAAATATGGAGCTTTATCAAAAATACACAACTGGCGTACGCAGGAATCAAAATAGTTAAACCTCTATTTAAAATATCAGAATACTATATGTTCTGAAACATTTATTCTATTTACGCACAATTTCCATGTGTATTAAATAAAAGAGACATTCTGTGTTACAACATTTTCAAAAATCTATTGTAAGATTATGAACAGAATATTTCACTGTTTGTAAATCTTCTAAAAATATTTTATCAGTTCTATAGCTTTATACCTTTTAAGAGCTATATTGATCTAAGGTTTTATTTCCGATTTCATATTATTTCTTTGCAATTAAACCATCATTTTATGGCCAGAAAAGCTGTCGAATGATATGTTGTTATAATGTAGCTATATTAAAAAAACTGACTATTTTCCGACTTACTTCCATTTCTTTGATGTCTACTTCCGTTTTACGTTCAAGGTTTTCCAATGTTTTATAGTCGTTGCTTTTTTCATCAAACACAATTTTATCCAATGCTATTGTTTTTCTTTTCTGTTCCATTGCTTGTTTTACTTTTACTTTGTATTCAGCTTGCGTCATTTCAAATCCCCTCTTTGTTGTTATCTGTATTACATAAAGTTTTTGAAGATCAATGCCCCGACAAAAAAGGTACTATGAAACTCGTAAAACAACCTTATTTGTTATCCACAGTTAATTGGATGTCTAAAGTTGAAATGTTCTGCAGGTAAAAGATATTTTTACATAGAACATACATAATTTGCAGATACATTGCCAAATCTGAATATGTCACAAATTAACACAATTGTTCATACAAAGCCTCATGTAACTGGTGATTCTCCTTATGTAGTAAAATATTGAAATTCATTTTAACGTGAATATATATGCATATATGCAGATGGAATTACAATACAACATAAATGGCCTCAATTTCAACATACATGGCATGAAATGCAACACTAATGACAATAAATTCCACAAAAATGACCTAAAATGCAGCATTAACATATCTGGTCGCTCATTCATTAACAAACAGGAAAAACAGTGCACTTAAGGAACCTACCCCTGAACTAACAATTTGTTCCAGCATATCTTGTAAACGTTTACTTTGACTTTTACACAATTGGTTGTTGTATTCAATATTACTATGTAGCTCATCAGCAACGATTCTTGCCTCTAAAACCTTGGCTATAATAAACTCACTTTCTTCTGACCGGTACTTTAGAACAAAGTCATTTCTTTCGAGCTGTGTAATTATAGATTTGTACAATATATTTCTTCGCAAGTTCGCTTTTTGCAATATTGAAATTGAAATACACAACCTTTATATACCAACTTACTTAATCAAAATTATTATATTTCGTTTGTTTAATAAAAGATTTCTTCAAAACTTTAAAATAGTCAAACATGTTAATTCGGGATTTAAACCAACGTGTAAGGCTATATATATATATATATATATATATATATATATATATATATATATATATATATATATATATATATATGCATACTATATATATATATATATATATATATATATATATAGTATATATATATATACTAAATAGAGTACATAACAATTAAAATATACTTCATATGTTCAAAAAGCTCTTACATCTTGCAGTTCTGCAATTGCCTTCTTATAATATGTTTTTTCGGCTATATCAAGACAATCTAAAAGTTTCCTTGTCTTGTTAAGGAGTTTTAGTGTTTCGTCCAATTCCATTGTATTGTTTGGTGAGTGCATAACTGTATTTCTTAACTTCAAAACCTGTAAAAAATTCGGTCCTCCAATAGGCAGTTTGATGACAAATTCAATAATATTCTGACACAATGTATCGAAAGAAAAAAGGATCCAAATGTTTTATGCATATTACCATCACAAAATTTCAACGCACGTGTACATATAATTTATGTCAGAGGTTTACAAAATTGTGTTCAGTTGTTTGTAAATTTATAGCAGATAACAGATGATAATTCTTCTGCGAAATTACACTTGGAAACTTGGTGTTATTTTGATATGTGTAAGAAACATTACTAAAAGCAATCTTGAAATTCATAACATATATTTTGAAATTATAAGGAAATAACCATTGCCATTACGAAGCCTGTAATATTTTCATGTATGTCATTTCTAAGGTGTCTGTTTTATCATCTTAGTTAGCTTGGGTATATTTCCTGTTTTTACAGATTTTACATGAAACATTTTACCTCGTCATATGGTTCGGCGGATCCATCTGGATAAAATAGTTTACAATTTCTCATAGCTTTGATAACATGTGATATATCCAGGTCTTCTAAACTGGTGTAGTTGTTGTCTAAATGCATGTATAATTTGAATAATTTGAAATATCTCCATTTAAATTTTTGATGTTCATTTCTACGATCAGCGTCGTCACTGATATTTGAAGATTTGTTCCATTTGTATTTTAATTGGTAGCTATGTGTATGATTGTGAACAAAACGACCCATAAGTGCATTGCATCTTTCATGACTGCATTCCCACTCCCAAACTCGACAACGACCTTTTACTTTCGTCTTTAGCTTAGAAATGTTATTTATATCTAGGCATATGAAAAACTGTTTTAACTCTTGGGGTGAAACATCTTTTAAGTATGCATCGAGTGTGTCAGTAATACATTCGCACAAGGCAGTTCTTATTGTATTTAGTCCAAATACACCTTTTAACCAGTTTTGAAACTCTTTGATATAAATATTTATTGGCATTATTTTAGCTGACTTATTGTCGATTTACGTGATTTACAAATAATATAAACCAATAAGTTTTAAACAGTGTATCATTTGACACCTTATACGTGTTTATAATGTATCACATGATTATTATTGATTAACATTTGCAAGTAAAATTTAGCTAAATGTGAACATTATTAATTATCTTTTCACAATCATTTTATATTCCCTGCAAACACATGGCATTCCCAATGTCTGAAATAGAAAACATATTTAAGCGTCATATCTTGCATTACAATTGCAAATAGATAAAAGGTTCGTACTAAGACGTTTGGGAAAACACCGGTACTTAAAATTAAATTCGTTGCAACGCTTTTCAATTATGTTTTTTCACTATAAGAATACTAGGGACAAAACAGATTAAGAGAATAACCCGAATATTTACACATGTTATATGTATAGACCTACATCAAATGGATAATTAACTTCGAAATATTATCTGCAGTCCCGCATTTGAAATCACTTAAATACGAATCTTCAGATGCACAGGTTATTATTTACGAAATAAATAGGTATGTTTGCATAGACACGACCTTACTTCAGACATTACTAATAAAGATAATATAAGTATCATACATTTAGATATGAATATTACATAATATAAAGTGAATGACCTTTCTAAAGATAAATGTGTGATAACGTTCTATGATTTTCGTGTTATCGTGATTTGTGTACATCGTATCTGTATTAGCGTGGATTATCAAATATGTATTTAGTCAATTTGTGTTCAGGTTATGAATAACTAGTACAGTTAATTTAAGAACTTAAAGAATAAGCATAAAATATAGTATTACGCTTTTCAGTAACCAAATTCAATAATGTTTTGTTTAAACTTCTCTTGAACCCTGGCAGTTAGCAATCCCCAACGTTAACCACCCAGTCACACCGCCGCCCTCCCCCACAAAAGTGATTTGCACAAGAATGAAACCCATAAGGGGAAATTAACAATTGTCAAACAATTTCTACGATAATAAGATAGGAAAAAGGAGCACGAAAAAGTGTCAGACTATTTGTATAAAACGTCGGCATTTTACTGTTGTCCGAGTTAGAAAAAAACGGATTTGTTCCAAATGTGTTAAAGTGATACTTAAATGCATAAATACGCAAAATGTAACTGCATACTGTATGTTCGCTAAATAAATTGGGATAGGCAGGTTGTCTTGTTACGAAGTTTGTAAGACAATATGGAATTTAATTTTTATACAAAAAACAAAAACTTCATTAGCCGAAGAAATCCGAATACTATGACGACGATCGATTCACAGACATTCTTCAAGTAAATTTTCTCTCTTAAATTAATTTTAAGTCCCTGTATTCAACCTAGCAAGTTCATTGGCAATTGATTTAAAGTCAGGCCACGGAAGTAAATGGTTCAAGTATAAACCAGCAACAATGGTAATAAATATAAATATTCGTAAATAAATACAATTGGCTGTTTATAAACAAATGTCCTGTTATATATAGCAACTTACGTTCATCAAATTAAATTATATCCCTTATAACTGTTAAAGTTCATTATATTCCTTTTTACTTCTATTGATGACCGAAAAATAGTGTGATATGAAAGGTCAATTTTGAGAACGGTGATATGATTGTATACTTTACAAAACACTTGACTGATATTGTCTTCCTTAATTCTGGTCGTTTTGAAGGAAAAGCTATGTCACCTCTAACGTGTTAAATACACTCCGCCAGCTATTGGTCATCAATGTAACTCAATCTATTGCCTAAATTTTTCAAATGCTTGCTCACGTTAATGAATTCAAGACCACTTATTTCTCGAAAACGGGAACAATCGCTCTTTTTATCGCGCGTGATTTAACCTATCTCCTACATGCTGACATTCGTACTTTTTAACGGTGCAAGCAAACTATTAGTTAATCTTTTTTACTGACACATACTTCTAACAAAAATAAATAAATAATGATATTGATAAAAATCTGAAAATAAAAACGGCCGATTTGCAGGTTTTTATTACATGAGTCAGTGTTGTTACATTTTTGTTGGTCATCCGGAATCATAGTTTATTTAGTATTAAAGCTTGAATATCACACTTTCCAAGCACCAGTCTAAAATGTATGGGTATTTCTTTATTAGATTATATCACTGTCTATTTACAAGTCTGTTACAGCACGTGGCTTCACCATTCTGCCTGTGCCTGTGCTTATTACCCTAAAATTCAAAATGGTTTCCGGAGTATAACTTAAGTTCAATTTTGCCTACAGTTTTCAAACTTCATAGGATGATTGTCCATGTTGGATAGAAGACCACTATCGATTTTGGGGTCACAAGGTCAAAGGTCAAGTTAACTCTTACCTAAAACGGAAAACAGTTTCCGCTCAATAACTTAAGTATTAATCAACCTACAGCTGTAAAATTTATAGGATGAACAGCCTTGTCCAATACATGACCTCTTTTGATTTAAATGGTCATAAGGTCAAAGGTCAGGGTCACAATGACCTTTACACTGAAAATTGTGGTTTCTGAAGCATAACTACAACTTGATGGTGGTGCTTTGAAAACAACAACTGTATATCTATGAAGCATCTTCATCTATAGAGGAAGATTGCTTTTTGAAGGAGGTAATACTATTTTTAATTCCCATGTCTTATAAATGTTTCATCCTTACTAACAAAAAAAAACCACTTTCGTGCATATAATGCTCCGCCTAGCGGTGCTCCTCTTTAAATAATATTTTGTCCTTTTTTAAGAATGATTATTTACTTTTTGTATAATATTCTGTCATTTGGAATGAGTTTTTATGTAATATTGTTTCCTATTTAAAATATTCCGTCTTTAAATATTATTTTTCTAGTTATGAACGACATAAGTATAAGAGGTATTATAACTATATATAAAACATGGGTCTATATAGCAGTGTCCCAAATGGTAGTCTATCAAGATCTAGGGAACACTCTTTTATAAAGGAGCTGAACGCACCTAGAGAATCATGTTGCAGTTAACTCAATTATCTACATTAAGTAAGGTTATTTCGTTATAAACATACTTATTTATTTCACAAATGAGAGCCGTCGCATCTGAAGATCAGTCTTTAAAGGGATTTCACATACGGGACTGCAGATAATCTTCGAAATTAATTATCCATTTGATGTAGGTCGATACATATAACGTATGTGTAAATTTTCGGGTTATTCGCTTAATCCGTTCAAACAAACAAATCTTATAATTTTGATCAAGAAAATTAATTATATAAAGGTTGTATAAATCATTTTCAATATTGCAAATTGCAAATAAATATCTTGTACAAATCTATAATTACACAGATCGAAAGAAAAGGCTTTGTGCTAAAGTAGCAGTCAGAAGAAAGTGAGTTTATTATAGCAAAGGTTTCAGAGGCAAGAAACGTTGCTGATGAACTACATAGTAACTTTTTTGACAACAATCAATTGTATTTAAGTCAAAGTGAACATTTACAAGATATGCTGTGCCAAACTGGTGGTTTAGGGGTAAGTTCCAAAATTGCACTGTTTCTCCAGCTTGTTATTGAATGAGCGACCAGTAATGTCTACAAATTCGAATTTTTAAAACTTAACTATAGGACACTATCCAATTTTCAGGTTATTATTATTGTATTTCAGATTATTTATGTGGCATTTCAGATAATTAATGCTGCATGTCTTTTGCATTTTATGGCATGATAAATGTTGAGTTTGAAGCCATAAAATTTGTATTGTAAAACCATCTGGACATGCATATATTTTCAAGTGCACGTTAATGTGAATTTAAATATTTTACTAAATAAGGGTAATTACCAGTAAGATGAAGCTTTGTATAAACAATTGTGATTATTTGCAACTTGTTCAGATTTGCCAATGTATCAAAAATTACGTACCTGCAGACCATTTCATTTTTAGATATCCAATAAGCATTGTATGAACAGTGAATAAAAACTATTGTTGTTTCAATTTTTGCCGCGGCATTGATATTCAAACACTGTATGTTCTACAGATAGCTACAAAGAAGGGATTTGAAATGACACAAGCTGAATACAAAGTACAAGTAAAACAGACAATAAAGCAGAAAAGAAAAACAATAGCATTTGATAGAACTGAGTTTGATGAAAAGAGCAACGACTATACAACATTGGAAAACCTGGAGCGTAACACTGAAGTATAAATTCAAGACGTGGAAGTACTTCAGAATAAAATACAGTTTAGCTTTTAATATAATCACATTATAACAATATATCATTCGACAGATTTTCTGACCATAAAATGATGGTTAAATTGTTAAGATTATGATTTGTTATCTGAAATCAAACCTTGATTCAATATAGCTCTTAAAAAGTATAACACTATAACTGATTAACTATTTTTAGAAGATTTACAAACAGTAAAATAATATTGTTTCCATAATCTTGCAATAGATTCCTGAAAATGTTGCAACATAGAATGTCACTTTTATCTAACACACATAGAGATCGTGCGTAACCAGAATAAAATGTTCCAGAACAAAATAGTATTCTGCTATCTTCAGTAGAGTTTTAACCGTTTCGATTTCTTGCATGCGCCAGTCGTTTTATGTTGATATACAATGTAATTCCACATGTCTTTCATCCAAGCAGCATTTTGGAATAAGGTTTTTTTTCTCAAATTTAAACATGATTTTTTGCAGCAGGTAAATTGGTTTATATACTTTAATAAAACATAATGAAAAGCTTCAATATATAACATCATCTTTATTGTTGTCCAAAGTAATGAAACAAAACCATGTCATAAGCGTAAAAGAACTGTTTTACTTGAACGAAGTCGTTTGGTAATAATGTCAGCATAAATATATTACTTCTAATTAAAAGCAGTCGACTCTAAATCCCTGGAACATGAACAAAATTTAACAGCAAATGAGGTAATGTCGTTTTGAAGATGAAACTTTGCGGGCATATGCGCAATTACAAGTAAACAATTTCATATGTACTCTATTTTACTTCTTTTGAAAAATGTAAAAACACAAAATCATCTTCATCACTGGCTTTTGAACATTGCTATATCTGATATCAGAGCGTCTAACGAAATAGGTTTTGACAGAACAATTTGGTAGTTAAAGTCTTTGATGCCCTTTTCTGTTTAGAAAAACATTGCAAACATCTATCTCAGAGTTGAACTTATAACATCGAAAATGCTTATGTAAGACGTATACCATATGTAAGTCATGCAACAGATATTATGAAAATAAATGGACTGTCATACTATCAGCCAATACAGGTGTAATAATATAAGCATTATATTTCTTGACAAGATAAGCTTTTTAAGCGTATACAATTTTTGTTTATTGATATTTTATTCTACTTAAATACAATACTCATGTGTGTTAATTTCCAATGGCATACTGTTTAATAAATATTTCGAAAATCGACCCTAATCAGAATACATGTACGTTACAGTACAGTTAATTATTTTTATGAAACAAAAACATAAGATATAGTTTTAGCCCCTTTAAATATTATGACATTCATTCATTCATTGCTTTCAATGGTATATCTTGTTAATAGTTTTGTCATTGATATATTGCTTCAAGTCGTTTGCCTTTTGTGATTCATTCATCGCTTTAATCGGTATTTCTTGTTAACGGTATATTTCTTTTTCAGCCATTGTTCTATAATCAACTAGTTTGCAGACACCTTTGAGTTGACGGTGTATATCACAGGTATCATGTTTTATCTTCATTTTTATTTCCTTCGTAAAGTCTACATTTTTATACCACATTAAATGTTTACTGATATAATAGCTTAAGTATAAATATTGTTGTTGTTTTTATAAAGAGTTACTTTTATTAATTTGCTTCTTAATGGCAATTTTTTATATTAACAACACAATGAAATTTCATTATAAACACCTTCACAATCCGCAGCAATAATAATTTGATTGACTTCATTAACATTTACTTGAGTGATTGAACAAAATCTTTATTTGCGAAGACTGATTATGCCATAATCATGATTTGAGAAAGGGTAAAGCTTTTTAAAAAAGTGATATGATACCTACTTCTCTCTTAGGGAGTTGACTACTTCGATTTTAGTTATTTGGAATAAGGTGCTTAATTTGTAACTTCAACAATATACGAGAGTTCTTTGATAAGTTTTATGTTTTGTACCAAAACTTAATAATACTTTGCATGATTCTGTGGATGTTGATATGACGTCTGAATGGTTTCATGCAATACCGTTCAAACTTTTCAGCTTATCACAGTTTTAAATTAATTGCAAATTTTTATAAAGACAGTCGTTCACACTGTTGTTAAACGGGTGAGAATATTGATGCAATTAGAGCTTATATAACAGTTTATACAAAAATAATTCGGTCATTGTGGCGAGCGATATTTTTCTGATAAGGTACTTTATGGCGTCATGAATATGTCCTTAGAAGTGCGGCTGACCGGCTGGAAAGTGACACGAGAAAGGAACAAAGGAGTAACCCCAAACTTTGTCGCATCAATTTTTTGAAACCGGGTGAAACTGCCAAGACCTGGTCGCCACACCAACCATCAATTAAGATGGCACTGCATGTTGAAATATGGATGTGTATCTTAGCAAGAAGCTTAG